ACAAGTTTTTCTAACTTATGAGATACAAATAATTGTAATCAACTTATTGGATGCAGACAATTTTACGGATTTATAATATAATTATGTAATTTGTAGTTAAATTACAAAAATAGTCATTCCTTACATCATCATCATCATCATCATCATCATCATCATCATCATCATCATCATCATCATCATCATCGATGTCAATTCATCATCATCATCATCATCATCATCATCATCATCATCATCATCATCATCATCATCATCATCATCATCATCATCGATGTCAGTTCATCATCATCATCATCATCATCATCATCATCATCATCATCATCATCATCATCATCGATGTCAATTCATCATCATCTTAATTATCATCATCTTAATTATCATCATCAACAACAACGTCAATTATCACCATCATTGACGTCATTTCATAATATATAATATATTTTTATAATAAGGGTACATCATCTTCTTATACCGGTACCTAACACCTGTGTAAAGGCCTGCCACTAGTTAGACGACGCTGGACACTTAATTACCTGTGTCCACGTGTTCACCCAGGTATGACATGAATTAACATACCAGAAGACATTCTTATACTATATAATTAATTCTATATGCTATTCGCATTTGGAATTAATGAATTAAATAATTGATATTTTATATTTATTTGTAAAGGAAATCGTCCTAATTCTAAGTAAACCATACAATTATTTACAGACTTTTTAACTCCAAGAACAGTTCAACTTCCTTCAAAAAATGCAAATGCACTTTTATATGAACGTCATAGGCCGGGGCGTATAATCTGCTATAACTGTACGAGGCGTGAACCTATTTACGTCAAAATAACCTTTAAATATCCAACACATATTTTACTTATCAATACATTGACCAAAGTTCAATTTTCTGTTCATTGCAATCTGATTCATTATCCGATATAGTGATAAAAACACTACACCTGATGCTGTAGTTTACAAGCCTCTAGTTTCTACCAAAAAGAACTGGTTGGTTGGTCATTAATTCAATGTCGACTGCAATGCCACTAACAGGTACATTTATTCGCTTCCATTTTTCCTTCAGAGTTACTAAGTGACCTGGGACATTTAACGCGTATCTATGACAAACAGATGTAATATAAACGATATAACAAAAGTACACATTTATTTATGTTTCTTTTACACACCTTGAGTCATGCGTTTTTGGAGGAAAAAGTACACAGTATATCAACAAATGAATAGGTACGACTCACCTTACCTTTCCAGAGTACTGGCATAAATTCCTCCTTAATAAGCTGTACTATTTCCAGTTATTTCCTTCAGAAAAATAGTTCACTGGTCAAATTTTAGACAACCTACGACTGGTCACCATTTTGCACATGCTTTACTAGTCAAGCATTTACACGACCAAGATTGAAAAAATATAAACAAATAATAGCCATATGTTATACAGCATTTTTTAAGCGCGTAAGTGACATAGTAAAACTGTATGATATTATAGTTAACAGAAACAATTTTAAACCGATATTTAAATGTTATGATGCTTTCTATTAATTATGAAATGAATATCTAACAATTTAGTCCCTTTTATATATATGTAAATGCTAATTATATATGTAATTGTTTATTTTTATTTTCTTGGTTCTGTTTGTTTGGTTCGTTTTTCTATATAAAAATTATGCTTTTGTTTTAATATTGCCGTAAAATTATGTCTAAAAGACGTGATTCATCTGATGTTCATTCCATATGTAATTTCATGATTTATAAATATAGCTTGAATGTGAAAATTAAAATTTTCAGTGACCGGGTCGTGAAAAGTTTCCTTTTGTTTGTTGAAGTTAGCTCATTTCACACATCAGACTTTTTTTTGCACTGCATATCGCCGAGATGAACCCAGGACGATGATGTATGTTATTTTTCAACTGCATGTTTATTATACAAAAACACTAAATATGTTTAACATCACTGAATAATCTAATCTGCCTATACTTGTTGAAATAAGAGTATAACACAGACACTAATTAAGTATCGATGTCCATTTAACGGTAAAGTGTCGGTAAAATACAGAATCTCGGAAATATGTGTTTGGATGGCCAAACAATGCTTTTTGTACATTCTTCGTTTGGTTATGACGGCAATTAGAATATTTTTCAGTCAACTGTAGGTTAAAATCAGAATATAATATATGTGTTGAGATTGACATTTGTATATATAAGCATATACTTTCCATATTTGGTTATGACAGTAATTATAAGTAAATATTTTTCGTTCAGCAATACAACATGAAAAGTTTGCGAACTTGAAACCAACATTTCAATTTCAGTTCTGTATTTGTTAGCAATCAATTTCAAATTGCGAACATCTCAATAGATAAAACATACCTTGATGATGACCAGAGTTAGATTTAGATATCTAGTGACATCATGTAAAACAGACTATAATAACTAAAGATCAAGGTAAGTATAGGTGGTAAATAGCCAATAATCCAATAATGAAAGACATCTGATAACTTTTGACAAGGGTGAGGTCACATCCAGGCCTGGGTGACTACATATAAAGAAAGAATAACGGTCTTTGTTGGCCCCCAACTCTGCCTTTCAGTTTCCGGACACTTTTCAACTGCCAGAGTTAGGATAAGGCACTATTAGGGCCTGGAGCCATCTTCTAACACTAGTATAATTATACAATCACCGCTACAGACGGTTCCATCCCAGTGATAATCTGTACTGGACGTAAGGTCTTAAATGTGGAGTTTATTTGTGTATTTTCACTCCTTTTCAGCCGTTTGTTTTAACAAATACTTGAAGGGGCGTGTTTACTTGTGTGTGGTGCTTTATTTATGTGTACAGTTTCAGATTATTTTACAAATGTGAATGCTGGGGATGGGGCACAGAGGAGGACATCACATACTTCATGAGGTGTCAGTATGCACCAATGAAAGGGAGTGACAGTAGTAATCCTCTATGGTGCAGTCTGTCTGGGTATCATGGGGATCGTACCGACTGTGTGTAGTGTTGTGTATGTGCCTAAAGTTTTGGAGTTGTCTCCCTTCGACCTTTCTCGGATTCTCTCGGAGAGTCTTTACAATACATTCCGTCGTTGTTCAAAGTCATCGCGCCGACTATACGGAGGTTTTCATGTTAACTTGTAACAGTCATGTTACAACACAAACAAACAATAGAGATGGCCACTGATAGAAAATGGTGGGACTGATTTGATTTTAAATAACTTGGTAGTACTGTTCGAAACATTTCAGCAGAAATTCAGTTTTTACGAAAGCTATGACACGTTTTGCTTTACAGGTCTATTGGTTTAGTTACTATATCACTATTATTGAAATGTTATATTTCATAGTTCATAGGAAAGGTGATGTGTTGTGATAATACATTTGCTGAATTGAAGACGCTAAACTTCGATTTAACCTTAACCTTTCTTACATAATGACGGGAATACCAAGATCTATGTCACATAACCAGGTTGCCGATTATCCAGCAATTATGATGAATTCCGTGAATCACATTTTATGTCACAGCTGGACCAATAATTTCCGGTTCAAACGAGGGACATACACACAGTAGCAACGAACACGGACACACCCATGAAATTATGGACGGGCCGGGAAAGTACACAGATCGCGATGTCCCTTTAACACGCATGGACTGGAAGGAGGTCAGTATGAACAAGGTCAAGGTCTAATCATTAGTAGACAAGTATGGTTGGTGTAGCGCGTAAGTAAATATCGAGCTCATTTGCAGGAAGTCGGGGCTACTTCGTGAGGAAAGTCCTAGCTCCTATGAAAAATGTTGGGTCCAGAGCGCGAGTAAAAGCCTAGCTCGTGTGAAGAATGTTGGGTCCAGAGCGTTGGTAAAGTCCTAGTTCGTGTGAAGAATGTTGGGTCCAGAGCGCGAGTAAAGTCCTAGTTCGTGTGAAGATGTTGGGTCCAGAGCGCAAGTTAAGTCCTAGTTCGTGTGAAACATGTTGGGTCCAGAGTGTGGGTAAAGTCCTAGCTCGTGTTAAGGATGTTGGGTCTAGAGCGTTGGTAAAGGCCTAGCTCTTGTGAAGAATGTTGGGTCCAGAGCGTGAGTAAAGTCCTAGATCGTGTGAAGATGTTGGGTCCAGAGCGCGAGTTAAGTCCTAGTACGTGTGAAACATGTTGGGTCCAGAGTGTGGATAAAGTCCTAGCTCGTGTTAAGGATGTTGGGTCTAGAGCGTTGGTAAAAGCCTAGCTCGTGTGAAGGATGTTGGGTCCAGAGTGTGGGTGAAAGGCTAGATCGTGTGAAACATGTTGGGTCCAGAGCGCGAGTAAAGGTCTAGCTCGTGTGTAGGATGTTGGGCCCAGAGCGTTGGTAAAGGCTTAGCTCGTGTATAGATGTTGGGTCCTGAGCGCGAGTAATGTCCTAGATCGTGTGAAACATGTTGGGTCCAGAGCGCGAGTTAAGTACTAGATCGTGTGAAGGATGTTAGGTCCAGAGCGTGGGTAAAGGGCTCATTCCTGTGAAGGATGTTGGGTCCAGAGCGCGAGTAATGTCCTAGATCGTGTGAAGCATGTTGGGTCCAGAGCGTTGGTAAAGGCTTAGCTCGTGTATAGATGTTGGGTCCTGAGCGCGAGTAAAGTCCTAGATCGTGTGAAGGATGTTGGGTCCAGAGCGTGGGTAAAGGGCTCATTCCTGTGAAGGATGTTGGGTCCAGAGTGTGGGTAAAGTCCTAGCTCGTGTGAAGCATGTTGGGTCCAGAGTGTGGGTAAAAGGCTAGATCGTGTGAAGCATGTTGGGTCCAGAGAGCGAGTAAAGGTCTAGCTCGTGTGTAGGATGTTGGGCCGAGAGCGTTGATAAAGGCTTAGCTCGTGTATAGATGTTGGGTCCTGAGCGCGAGTAAAGTCCAAGATCGTGTGAGCCATGTTGGGTCCAGAGCGTTGGTAAAGGGCTCATTCCTGCGAAGGATGTTGGGTCCAGAGCGTTGGTAAAGGGCTCATTCCTGTGAAGGATGTTGGGTCCAGAGTGTGGGTAAAGTCCTAGCTCGTGTGAAGCATGTTGGGTCCAGAGCGTTGGTAAAGTCCTAGTTCGTGTGAAGCATGTTGGGTCCAGAGCGTTGGTAAAGGGCTCATTCCTGTGAAGGATGTTGGGTCCAGAGTGTGGGTAAAGTCCTAGCTCGTGTGAAGAATGTTGGGTCCAGAGCGTTGGTAAAGTCCTAGTTCGTGTGAAGAATGTTGGGTCCAGAGCGTTGGTAAAGTCCTAGTTCGTGTGAAGGATGTTGGGTCCAGAGTGTGGGTAAAGTCCTAGATCGTGTGAAGGATGTCGGGTCCAGAGCGTGGGTAAAGGGCACATTCCTGTGAAGGATGTTGGGTCCAGAGAGCGAGTAAAGGTCTAGCTCGTGTGTAGGATGTTGGGTCCTGAGCGCAAGTAATGTCCTAGATCGTGTGAAACATGTTGGGTCCAGAGCGCGAGTAAAGTCCTAGTTCGTGTGAAGCATGTTAGGTCCAGAGCGCGAGTTAATTACTAGATCGTGTGAAGCATGTTGGGTCCAGAGCGTGGGTAAAGGGCTCATTCCTGTGAAGGATGTTGGGTCCAGAGTGTGGGTAAAGTCCTAGCTCGTGTGAAGCATGTTGGGTCCAGAGCGTTGGTAAAGGGCTCATTCCTGTGAAGGATGTTGGGTCCAGAGTGTGGTAAAGTCCTAGCTCGTGTGAAGAATGTTGGGTCCAGAGCGTTGGTAAAGTCCTAGTTCGTGTGAAGGATGTTGGGTCCAGAGTGTGGGTAAAGTCCTAGATCGTGTGAAGGATGTCGGGTCCAGAGCGTGGGTAAAGGGCTCATTCCTGTGAAGGATGTTGGGTCCAGAGAGCGAGTAAAGGTCTAGCTCGTGTGTAGGATGTTGGGCCGAGAGCGTTGATAAAGGCTTAGCTCGTGTATAGATGTTGGGTCCTGAGCGCAAGTAATGTCCTAGATCGTGTGAAACATGTTGGGTCCAGAGCGCGAGTTAATTACTAGATCGTGTGAAGGATGTCGGGTCCAGAGCGTGGGTAAAGGGCTCATTCCTGTGAAGGATGTTGGGTCCAGAGCGCGAGTTAAGTCCTAGCTCGTGTGAAACATGTTGGGCCCAGAGCGTTGGTAAAGGCTTAGCTCGTGTATAGATGTTGGGTCCTGAGCGCGAGTAAAGTCCAAGATCGTGTGAGCCATGCTGGGTCCAGAGCGTGGGTAAAGTGCTCATTCCTGCGAAGGATGTTGGGTCCAGAGCGTTGGTAAAGGCTTAGCTCGTGTATAGATGTTGGGTCCTGAGCGCGAGTAAAGTCCAAGATCGTGTGAGCCATGCTGGGTCCAGAGCGTGGGTAAAGTGCTCATTCCTGCGAAGGATGTTGGGTCCAGAGCGTTGGTAAAGGCTTAGCTCGTGTATAGATGTTGGGTCCTGAGCGCGAGTAAAGTCCAAGATCGTGTGAGCCATGTTGGGTCCAGAGCGTGCGTAAAGGGCTCATTCCTGTGAAGGATGTTGGGTCCAGAGTGTGGGTAAAGTCCTAGATCGTGTGAAGGATGTTGGGTCCAGAGCGCGAGTTAAGTCCTAGCTCGTGTGAAGCATGTTGGGTCCAGAGCGTTGGTAAAGGGCTCATTCCTGTGAAGGATGTTGGGTCCAGAGTGTGGGTAAAGTCCTAGCTCGTGTGAAGAATGTTGGGTCCAGAGCGTTCCTAGTTCGTGTGAAGGATGTTGGGTCCAGAGTGTGGGTAAAGTCCTAGATCGTGTGAAGGATGTCGGGTCCAGAGCGTGGGTAAAGGGCTCATTCCTGTGAAGGATGTTGGGTCCATAGCGTTGGTAAAGGGCTCATTCCTGTGAAGGATGTTGGGTCCAGAGCGTTGGTAAAGTCCTAGTTCCTGTGAAGGATGTTGGGTCCATAGCGTTGGTAAAGGGCTCATTCCTGTGAAGGGTGTTGGGTCCAGAGTGTGGGTAAAGTCCTAGCTCGTGTGAAGAATGTTGTGTCCAGAGCGTTGGTAAAGTCCTAGCTCGTGTGAAGAATGTTGTGTCCAGAGCGTTGGTAAAGTCCTAGTTCCTGTGAAGGATGTTGGGTCCATAGCGTTGGTAAAGGGCTCATTCCTGTGAAGGATGTTGGGTCCAGAGTGTGGGTAAAGTCCTAGCTCGTGTGAAGAATGTTGTGTCCAGAGCGTTGGTAAAGTCCTAGTTCGTGTGAAGGATGTTGGGTCCAGAGTGTGGGTAAAGTCCTAGAACGTGTGAATGATGTTGGGTCCAGAGCGCGAGTTAAGTCCTAGCTCGTGTGAAGCATGTTGGGTCCAGAGCGTTGGTAAAGGGCTCATTCCTGTGAAGGATGTTGGGTCCAGAGTGTGGGTAAAGTCCTAGCTCGTGTGAAGCATGTTGGGTCCAGAGCGTTGGTAAAGGGCTCATTCCTGTGAAGGATGTTGGGTCCAGAGTGTGGGTAAAGTCCTAGCTCGTGTGAAGAATGTTGGGTCCAGAGCGTTGGTAAAGTCCTAGTTCGTGTGAAGGATGTTGGGTCCAGAGTGTGGGTAAAGGCTTAGCTCGTGTGAAGCGTGTTGGGTCCAGAGCATTGGTAAAGGGCTGGTTACTGTAAAGGATGTTGTGTCCAGAGCGCGAGTAAAGTCCTAGCTCGGGTGAAGGATGTTGGGTCTACCGTGTGAGTAAGGTCTAGATCGTGTGAAGGATGTTGGGTCTACCGTGTGAGTAAGGTCTAGCTCGTGTTTAGGATGTTGGTTCTACCGGGTGAGTAAGGTCTATCTCGTGTCAAGGATGTTGGTTCTACCGGGTGGGTAAGGTCTAGCTCGTGTTTAGGATGTTGGGGGTCTATCGGGTGAGTAAGGTCTAGCTCGTGTGAAGGAATTTGATTCTACCGTGTGAGTAAGGTCTAGCTCGTGTTTTGGATGTTGGGTTCTATCCGGTGAGTAAGGTCTATCTCGTGTTTAGGATGTTGGGTCCAGCGGGGATGAGTAAGGTCTAGCTCGTGTTTAGGATGTTGGTTCTACCGGGTGGGTAAGGTCTAGCTCGTGTTTAGGATGTTGGGGTCTATCCGGTGAGTATGGTCTATCTCGTGTTTAGGATGTTGGGTCCAGCGGGGATGAGTAAGGTCTAGCTCGTGTTTAGGATGTTGGTTCTACCGGGTGGGTAAGGTCTAGCTCGTGTTTAGGATGTTGGGGTCTATCCGGTGAGTATGGTCTATCTTCTGTGTAGGATGTTGGGTCTAGCGGGGATGAGTAAGGTCTAGCTCGTGTTTAGGATGTTGGTTCTACCGGGTGAGTAAGGTGTAGCTCGTGTTTGGGATGTTGGGTTCTATCCGGTGAGTAAGGTCTAACTCGTGTTTAGGATGTTGGGTCCAGCGGGGATGAGTAAGGTCTAGCTCGTGTTTAGGATTTTGGTTCTACCGGGTGGGTAAGGTCTAGCTCGTGTTTAGGATGTTGGGGTCTATCCGGTGAGTATGGTCTATCTCGTGTGTAGGATGTTGGGTCTAGCGGGGATGAGTAAGGTCTAGCTCGTGTTTAGGATGTTGGTTCTACCGGGTGAGTAAGGTGTAGCTCGTGTTTGGGATGTTGGGTTCTATCCGGTGAGTAAGGTCTATCTCGTGTTTAGGATGTTGGGTCCAGCGGGGATGAGTAAGGTCTAGCTCGTGTTTAGGATGTTGGTTCTACCGGGTGGGTAAAGTCTAGCTCGTGTGTAGGATGTTGGGGTCTCTCCGGTGAGTAAGGTCTATCTCGTGTTTAGGATGTTGGGTCCAGCGGGGATGAGTAAGGTCTAGCTCGTGTGTAGGATATTGGTTCTACCGGGTGGGTAAGGTCTAGCTCGTGTGAAGGATGTTGGGTTCTATCCGGTGAGTAAGGTCTATCTCGTGTTTAGGGTGTTGGGTCCAGCGGGGATGAGTAAGGTCTAACTCGTGTTTAGGATGTTGGTTCTACCGGGTGGGTAAGGTCTAGCTCGTGTGTAGGATGTTGGGTCCAGCGGGGATGAGTAAGGTCTAGCTCGTGTTTAGGATGTTGGTACTACCGGGTGGGTAAGGTCTAGCTCGTGTGTAGGATGTTTGGTTTATCGGATGAGTAAGTTCTAACTCGTATGTGATATTGGACCTAGCCAATAAATCAATTTGTACATATGTTATTTGGTATCTATTTGTTTGGTTTAGATAGTTCGCAAAGGTCTGACTTGTGTGTAAAATGTTTTCAAATAATATATAAGAAGATGTTAATGATTTACAAAATGTACACAGGTGAACAGCTCAAAGTGAATGAATTATAATGCATCATTCAGCTGTTCTGCCCACTAGGACCCTTCCGTAATGACAAGAACTTGAATTTTGAAGCCTTGGGGGCGACTAAAGTCAAAGTTATCGGAAGAATAGTCAAAACCAGATAGGGAGGCGTACCTGCCCGATAATCCAGTATCCACATAGTATGATGGGTATTTACAAGGAATGTGGTGTATTTCATGCTATTTTCTTTATAAATACAGGTACTTTGCTGTCACTAATTGAAAAAATCTACCTTTTACAGAGAGCTTTCACCGTCGGGATAGGCGGGCCCGTGGGGTCAGGAAAAACAGCCCTTGTTCTGGCACTTTGTAAACACCTTCGAGAATCTCACAATATTTGCGTAATTACCAACGACATATTCACCAGGTAGGATGTATTTACTTAAAGTTATGTGTTTGTCTAATGCTTTAGTGTAGAACTGTGACCTGATATTGAACCGGTTTTATCTAAAATCCCGTTAACTCTTCATCAACTACATTGACGTTTTCTACAGAGACATTTGGCCTAAAGTGTTTGTAAGGTAAATGTTAGAGTTAACTGTTCGATATCATCAATGTGCACGACCTTCAACATTATAGAGGTCAATTGTGTTAGAACTAATAAAAAAGGCAAGATTGTTTTGTGCTAATTTGGTAAAAAGAGAAAACTACACATTTAAGTTGCTCTGATAGCAATTTTCTGAAACAAGTAATGATGACCAGGACATTGACCTCACTGCCCTTAAACTCGAACTTGTGACGGTAACATTGACCTTGACCAAATAACCCTTTAGTTATTGTGATGATGTATACTTTGGAAAGTTTGGTTCCCCCGTGGAATTTAAACCTCTAGAGCACTCACACACTCTGTCACGGTTTGATGGACGGAACGGAAATGAGACCTATATACCCCATCCCCCTTTCTGGTATGGGACTAATGATAACCAACCCTCTTTATCCGCATATATTGATGCAAAATGTGTCGGTATCATACCAATTAGGAATTTAAGGACCACAAGGTGAAACAAAAACAGTTTTTAGAAAGAAACATATTTGGTTCTGATTGACCTTATGTTGACCTTGTAAAATATCCTTTATAGAGAGGATTGGGAGTTTCTGGTGAGGAATAAAGCGCTTCCGGAGGATCGCATGCGCGCGGTGGAGACTGGAGGCTGTCCACACGCTGCAATCAGAGAGGTAATACTTGTCTGCTTCAAACGGAAACAATTTCATTGGTCCTTTCGGAGCAAAACACTGGTTGTGCAATTGTATAGAGTTATTACGAAACAGGATTGTTGGTTTATATCAACAAATATGTACAAAACTTTTTTTCTCTTCACAGTTGTTGAAGGTCTGTTATATGTCAAGATAAAGATAAGAATAATTTCTTAAGATATTTAATTTTCCACATTTCGCATTTTTTAAAATTTCTTTTGCTCACCTGGCTGGACGATGTTTCTTTTATCCCCATCACTTGTCTTGGCCGGTTTTTCCCTGTTCATCTCTTCACATCACTTGACGGCTATAGGTATACATTCCCACTCATCTTGTTAAACTTAAAATCACATATATTGCAGGACTATTCATTGAATTTAGAGGAAGTACGACAGCTAACGAAGAAGTTTGCTCCGAGATTGGTTATAGTGGAATCAGGGGGAGATAACCTAGCTGCTAATTTCAGTCGGGAGCTAGCGGACTATATCATATATGTAATCGATGTAGCGGGTAAGTTTCTCCGGCCTCTATTTCATGTTAACGGGGATGACGTAACAGACATTTGTTTTTCCGGCCTCTATTTCATACTCACGGGGATGACGTAACAGACATTTGTTTTTCCGGCCTCTATTTCATACTCACGGGGATGACGTAACAGACGTTTGTTTTTCCGGCCTCTTTCATATTCACGGGGATGACGTAACAGATGTTTGTTTTTCCGGCCTCTATTTCATGTTCACGAGGATGACGTAACAGGTGTTTGTTTTTACAGTCTCTCTTTCATGTTCACAAGGATGACGTAACAGGTGTTTGTTTTTACAGTCTCTCTTTCATGTTCACAAGGATGACGTAACAGACATTTGCTTTAGCTTTTCATTTTTAGATCATTATCGTCATATGGTGTTATTTTCCCCCTTTAAATGATAACTGAATATTTAACCGGAAACATCTTCGGCGGAAGGCCGATCAAATTCTAATAAATAACCTTGACCAACTTGCAAGGTCACATTGGTCAAATGCCTTAATAATTAATGACGTCGTATGCGAAACAAAGAGGCCTGTGGTCATGATGTTTGGGGTGTAATCTACTGGGATGAAGTGTTTTGAGTTGACTTGAAGATTTGGTGAGAGAAAATGAAATGATAAATAAGTAAAGGCTTGGATAATATCGGCAGACTGACTTATTCCAACAGCTTCTAAACCTTTACGTTTTTACATAAACATCTCCACATTATTTCTGGTGTTCCCTGGGCTGGAAAATAATATGGTTATGTCTATGTTTTTGTAACTTGTAAGCAACAGTTTGGAGACCATTTTTAAACTGAGGTAAAATGTATGTTATTCTTGTATATGTTGGTTTGATGAATTGTAGGAGGAGACAAGATCCCCCGGAAAGGAGGGCCTGGGATAACACAAAGTGATCTTCTGGTCATAAACAAGACTGACCTCGCGGAGGCCGTGGGGGCTGACCTCAAGGTGATGGAAAGGGATGCAGCAATGATGCGACAGACCGGGCCGACTCTTTTCACCCAAGCCAAACACAACATCGGAGTACCGGAAATAGCCGAATTCATACTCAAAGCTTCTAACAATATGACCGGGTTATAAGCTTGAACACTGCCTGGATTCTCTGAACGAACCTGACGTCATGAAGGACAAAACTTTACCAAGCAATCCTTTCTAGACGTTTCTTTGATAGGTTAATATTCTTCTTTAGCATAAATTTCATTCTTTTAAATTCCACGGATTCACCATTCCATTAAGCATTTGATCTATCAAAGGTTAAATTGTACATCGTTAATGGCTTGGATGTGTGTTGGGAGGTCATGGATGTTAAATAATCGGTTCAATATTAATCCATATGCTTCTCACAATCGTGAAATGCGACGTACAGTTGGGACACTCATAAAATGTCAGTTTTCCCTGTAACAGCTGTTAGCAGTACAGCAGGACAGTTGGTGACACATACAAAACACCAGTTTGTATTTGTTGGCGACCGTTCTGATGTGTTTATTGATACAGGGAACAGTAAGAATAAATAGAACACGTGTGATATTCAAACAAATCATCCATTGCTATGTGTATTATTATTATTATTATTATTATTATTATTAAAAGAATATTAAATACACCATTTAAAAGTCTAATTGTAAAAGCGTTTTTCTTTAGTTTGTAATAAAACGTATTTTATTAAGTTTTGTCAATTACAAATGTATATTTGTAGATAAAAAGTGATATCGAGGAAGTGATTGGGGAACTTTTTTTTAATATTTATTTTATTTTTCAAAGCATTTTAAGCATACAGATAAACAACCTTGCACACCCCACACATAGCAATTGTACACCTCATGCATCCTGTCATTGTACAGTCATAATCATCATTATAGTCATAATATCTCTTTTTATTTTATCTACCTTACTATTGCATATAAAGCTATAAAAATGGAGTTAATGTTCTGCATGAAGTGTTCATCAGGGTTTGGTATTGATATAAATAAATGATTTAATTGTGAGAACAGGAGAGATTTGATCAGAACTATTTTCCCAATGGGTGTAAGACTTCTTCTACTCCAAGTCTTAATAAGTGTCTTACGCTTAACTAATTTTTTGTCAAAATTAATTTTAGGAATTTCCTGTAGATTCACACTAAAATCTATTCCTAGAAGTGTAAATTTATCCCGTCCCCACTGTAAGTTCAATTCAGGTAAAAAGGTATCACTACTATAAATTTTGTTCCCGATCCAAATAACCTGAGTTTTATCAATATTAAGTTTCAAACCAGATATTTTTGCAAACTTATCCAATTCAACAATAGATTCTTTCAGGGAATTTTCTGAGCCATCTAATATAAGGGTGGTGTCGTCGGCATATTGTGAAATGAGAACTGGACAACTATTAACCTCTATACCCTTAATTCTATTATTATTTCTGAATGTAATACCTAGTATTTCTACACATAGAATAAAAATATACGGAGCTATTGGGTCGCCTTGACGACAGTCTCTTTTGGCATTAACAACAGATGACAGGTTACCCCCCCCCCTCCTGATTTACAGTAGCTGATACATTAGTATGTAAAACCTTAACCCATTTTTGAATATCTGGACCAAAATTAAAATAACTAAATACCTTGTGAACATATTTCCACGAAACCGAATCACAGGCTTTCTCAAAATCTAACATTAAAAGCATTCCCGGAATATTCAAATCTTCAGGAAGTTGCATGATATCATATACCAATCGTGTGTTTTCCCAAACTATCAAATCTATCATTCAACAGTAATTGTGGACGTTACTTTCGTCTTTGAGAACGAAGATTGTGTAGAAATGAATATGGCTCTCGGAACGACCTGGAATGCTTTGATTTCACATGGAATGTTAAAATAATACTCTTGCACATTCATTAAAAGTCTTCCTACCCACCTTTTAAACCTTTAAATGGTTATTCAAATAAGTTTTTTTTTCTTTTTGTTTCTTTATCCCTACAGATGCAATACACAGATCTGAATTATAATATTTGAAAAGAGGACAGAATTAAAAAGATATTTTAAAGAATAAATCAGTATCTTCATTAAAACTCAGTGACATATTAAAAAAAACAGATACAACAAACCATACAAAAAACTTGTTAGCAATTTCTATCAACATATTAAATCAATAATTCACGGATCTGCAGTAGTTTTTCTCTAATATCAATATTTTTGAAAAAAGTAATACATGTATGTTTCAAATTTCGAACTTCACATATTTGAAGCTAGTCTTTGTATAAAACTAAAAATGTCGAAGATGGAAAACGACACCAAAAAGTGGGTTGAATTACACGTCCATTGTGTATGCAACACCTTAAATTAAAGAAAAGATATAACAAAAAATGTGTGTGAAAATATATAATTAGCAAATCATTACAAGGTAACTTATTAATTTTAAATGCTACTGACTGCATTTTCTGCAGATTTCACGATTGATGCAGAGATCTGGAGTATGTATTGGCCATGAATGTATGTCTGATTGATCATAATGAAGCAGCTATTACCCACATATTAATACATGAATTCGGAATAATTAAGCTCAGCAACTATGAATTTATGAATATTCATATTGCTTTCTAAAGCGACATACGTTCGTTTAGTATTTATAACTGCAGATCGTCCCACCATCTACACGTGGTAAATTGCGGACATCAATATTGATGAAGACCATGACACAGGGATTCACTTTACTATGGCCATGGTAAAGTAAAGCATTACACTATATTCTTTTTTTTTTAATTTCTAATTTTTGAAAGTTTTCAAATATGATACATATATAAACATATTATCATAAACTTTCGCACAAACTTACCTACACTTATATAGTGTTGTGTAGGTGATTACCTAATTATAATCAATGTCTAAACAGGAAACACAACCTATTATAACTAATCAATTATGAAATTTCAACCTTGGTGATCGGTTTCAAAATAATAACCAGTGATGTTAGGTTTACTGTTAATATCCGATCATCGATGATGGAATCTCAAAACTGATTCCCTATACTACGCTTACATGGACATAAACACACAGATGCTCACATACCATTCGCTCATCAGACAAAAAGACAAACAAGACAGACAGGATAGGAAAGGGTAGAAAAAAGGAAAGAGGAAGGAGGGTAGAGAGGAGGAGGTACTGTTTTCTTCATACACACACACATATATATATATATTGTATAATGTATTCTACATGTAAATAAAGAATATCTAAATTATAACAGCAAATCAAGAGTCGTCGGCGGAGTTAGCGTTATGATTAATAATTACAACAAAATAAATATACACATACAGAGATAATTAGAGCCAGTGAAATAATATTAAGGTTAAAAACTTATAAGTCTAATAAGGGCTTCCATTTTCTCCAACCTAGCTCAAATTGCATTTTAATATGATTCTTTTGACTATTATTTATATATACTACAAAATTATCTTTAATTACATTAAGGAGAGCGTTTATATTCAAAGAGTTACTAATACATCTGGTTTTATATATATAGTGTTTTATAATGATAAGAATTTCATTGTCAACTGTTACATTGTTGTGAAACTATTCCAAAAAGAAATGACTCCTCATTATATGTTAATGGTATTAAAAGTAGATCTAATAAAGTTTCAAATTTCTGAAGAAGAGTTTGCACCTCCCTACATTCCCATAAGCAATGCACAATTGTCTCTATTTCCATATTACATAAAGTACACATAGGGCTAGGGTTTATCTTTATTTTATGAAGAAAAGAATTTGTTACTAAGATCTGATGAATAATTCTGACCTGCAACCATATTAATTTAGAATTTTTGGTGACTGTAAAGGGAAGATTATATACTTTTGACCACTTTTCAAAATCAAAGTTAAACTGCAAATTCCATTTTTTGGTGCCAGTAGGCATAGTCGCTGGAGTTATGATATGCTTGTAGAAATCTTTCACACCTTTTTTATTCTTGAAGAATATTTCTAATATTTGTGGTATGAAAGGATGCGAAAGTCTTTCTGATTTGAACTCGAGATTTCTTAAATAGCGTTTAATTTCAACTATTAATCCATGAAATTCTAGAAAGTTAGTGTTAATTCTAAACTTTTGTAAAAACTCTTCAAAAGAAAGAAATGTTAAGTTTTCAGAATTTTTCATCAGATCATTCAATGTCAAGATACCTGCCATAAACCAGTTTGGATAAAAGACAAATTTATTACTAGTATTAACTTTAATATCATTGTTATACCAAAGGGGTGTTTTGAGAATACAATTTTGTCTATTTAGCGATATTTCTTTAGATTTGTTTAGTTTATCCCATGCTTTTAAAACATCTTTCCAGAATTGATTGCGGCATCTTGAACCACATAAATATACATAATCCTTTCCACATTTAAACAACTTATTTAGATCTATTGTTGACTTAAGGATCAGATACCATTTGCCTAATAACATAAATAATTTTCTTATCCAGCCTAATTTTAAAGAATGAATGAAAGAATATAAGTCAATCATATTTAGCATACCATTATTATTATTTTGAATAATGACATCTGTTTTAATCTTATTGCACTTACCATTCCACAAAAAATCAAATAATAAAGAATTTATTGTAGCAATATATTTTTCTGATGGGTTTGGCAAGGTAATAAATAGATAATTGAGTTGTGAAATCAAGAGAGACTTAATAACATTAATTTTGCCAATTGGAATCAAGCTCCGTCGCTTCCAAGAAGTAAGAAGTGCTTTAAGTTTTACAATTTTTTTGTCAAAATTTAATCTTGGTATTTGATCCAAATCAACCGAAAAATCGATACCCAGAAATGTAAATCTATTTTTCCCCCACTGCAGATTCAAATCTGGCCGATATGTTACATCACTGTATTTACAACTCCCTAACCATATAATTTGAGTTTTATTAGTATTAATGTTTAAACCAGAAATCTTTGCATAGTTATCTAACTCTGAGATAGACTCATTAAGCGACCTCTCTGAGCCATCTAATATTAAACCAGTGTCATCTGCATATTGCACATTTAGAATTGGTACATTATCTACATCAATGCCTTTAATAAACTCATTATTTCTAATTCTTGCTGCTAGAACTTCAGCACATAAAATAAAGATATAAGGAGATATTGGGTCACCTTGACGACAACCTCTTTCAAAATCAATACGTTTTGAAAGATTCCCACATTGATTAATAGAAGCATATACATTATTATTAAATAATTTTATCCACTTGCGTATATCTTCCCCAAAGTTAAAATATTTTAAAACCCCCATGAAACACTATCAAATGCTTTTTTCAAAATCTACTAACATTAACATACCTGGAATATGGAGTTCTTCTACATAATGCATTACATCATACACTGTACGGATATTTTCACCTATATACCTACCTGATAAAAACCCTGTCTGATCTTCATTAATAATTTTGCTCAAAAGTGTTTTTATTCTTTGTGCGATTACCCCGGAGGCAATTTTATAGGTAATATTCAAAAGTGTTATTGGCCTCCAATTTTTCAAGACGTGGCGTGGCTTGTCTCCCTTAGGAATACATACGATGAC